GCTGGACATCTCCAGGAACATTACCATTTCCTAACCATCAGATTTCTACCAAGAACCCGGGATATCCAGCAGATTTTACCAAGCGATTATCTATTCCCATGAGAGTGTTCGAGCAGGACCATTGGAATGCCTGCAATTTCGCAATCTCTTGGAATTGCATCCTAAATAGCCGAAAAAAATCGGGAATTGATTTTGTATGAACTAGCGACTTGAGAAATATGGTGGAACAGACTCATGGGCGCTCAGCATGTCGTGGAACGCATATCAAGATATTAGTTCTTAAATCTGTTAGTTGATTCATATGAATGAATAACTAAAAATTGATTAGGTGCGCAAATAAATAATTTTCTTGAATGAAAAATCACTCAATTCCTTACTATCACTATGAAAATAAATTAATAAGTCCGATATACCACTAGTTATTGCAGAAAGGACATACCGGCAGATATTTACAAATCTATATTTTATTAGATAAAGTTTCTAACAATTTTGAGATTTGCTAGTGTAAGTAACACATCTAACAGTCTGAATTTTTACTTCTACTAATTATGACGCCAGCTCAGCCTTCTTAATTCAATTTGCATTTCTAACCATGAATTCCAGACAAATTTCACGCTTATCCACAGCACGCATCCTCGAGAATTCCTTCTATCGCAGGCCACCAATACAAATTTTCACAACTTTTCCCTGTTATTAAGAGGAATTAATATCAAAAGAGTAAAAAAGATTTAATGTGTTCCAATACTTCAATTTACGCTAATTAGCAATCAGGGCGAAAATAATCTTCAATTCTGCTTACGAAATTAACCAGTTGCACACTACTGAATTTTTCTAAATCTCGAAAATTAAATTGAAATGATGATACTGCGTGAAGTAGGATTATTTAAATTTATTCCAGCTAATAGTTCTTCCTAACAAAATACTTACAACGCAAAGAGATCTGATGCTAAACATTCTGCCAGAATGATTCAATAATCGCTGTGTAGTCGTCAGCTAATCTCAATCATTAACTAATGAAATTTTTATTTATTTAATTAAAATTCGAAAATCAATGGGGTAATGAAGAATAGGTGCTGTTGCCGATATCATTCTTTGATGAATATTTCTGGGAACTTTTCTGAGTTCAATCTTTCCTTGAAGAACACTTCTGGGAAGAGTTCATTATATCTTTATTCGAAAATTATTTTAGGGATATTCTTTGAGATGAGTTCGTAGCAAAATTCTCTGAGAAAGATTCATTTAATAAAGTTCTTCAAGAAACGTTCTTTGCATCATTTCCATAAGAACATTATTCATCAAAATAAGTTCGCTCCGTCATCATCTTTTGGCAAGAACGATGGATGATGAAATGTAATATTAGATGAAATCTATGTGTAAAAGATCGGTCTTGTTGCGAGGCAATAATGTCCTATAATAATATTAATAATCTTTGAGGCCATGTTTCCATTACTGAAGAAACAGACTCAAATGCTGGTAAGCAGAATCGCTGAGAAAACAAAGCAAAGGCCGCAGGGAAAACTTCTTCCGTTCCGGACTAGCCAAAGTAATATTCCTGACCATATTTACGCAAATGATCAAAAAAACATTTAGCCAAGTACTTGAATATTTATCATGAATATTCTGATATTTACGTTATGTGTTCGAATATTTTCACCAAATTTGCAAATATTTACTCTAAATCTTTTGCTATACGCGTCATAAAAGTTGAATTATCCTTGCTCTGAACCAATGTATGTATGAACAATGGTTATGAATGGTTATGAACAATGAACCAAAGTATCTCTGAAAAATACACAGTTTCAGAATGCCCTTGAAGTGATTTTTTAGTGATTTTTTGCCGATTCACCGACGCTGTCCACAGCAAGCTGCGCCAGATTTCTCCATAAAAAAACTTTCGTACTGTAATGATTGCGTTGCAGATTTTCTTCAAGGAACCTGACCGCGTTGAAGAATTGTTTACCGTACCTATTTATTTTACTAAAACAAAAGAATTATGCTCTCTACTACATTTGTACACGGTTTTAATTTTGTATATTTTGAACGAAGGATAAATTGGCTTGATTAAAAAATATATTATTTAATCCTATATTATCCTCTTTTTAGTAGTGCAATGCAGCCACAAAAACACAACAGACACGATGGGTAATGTGAGTACATACGCGATCGAACAGGCCCAGCTCATGTTCAGTTTGAGGCTGCAGATTCTCCAGCATAGGTGCAATTAAACTTCCTGAAAAACATTACATATAAATAATTCTAAAAGACGAATTACAACTTAGATACTTCACGGAATAAGGACTATAATGATAATTATCAAGCTCAGAATAGGGATAAATGTCATGTCATCCTTCTAATGCTGAACTTTTCACGTACTCTTGTTAGCCAACAGTATATGTTTCAATCTTCTAAAATAAACATGTGCAGGGTCCGCTATATTTACAGTAACACATGTTTTCTTATTTTTCAAGAAAACAAACAGGAGAATTAATTGTTTATTGGATGAGCTAATAGCCAAGAACCACCTAAGCGATTCTTAAACGTATTTGTTCAATATGACCACCCTTATTTTTAATGACGGCCTCCAACCTGCGCGGGAAAGCTTCACAGGAGGCACGCAGCATTTCTTGAGGGATCAAGTCCCATTCTCGTGTCAATTTAGACTTCAAACTATCCAAAGAATCTTGAGGTGTTCTGCAAACCCTACTCTCATGGCTTCAAATGTATGACGATTTAATATAGATACTTTGTGCGAGCCTTTGCACGTAATAAATAAAAAGATTTCAGCCCATGCTGCTGTATGATTGAAAAAAATCATGTATTCATAGCCATGATTAAGCCAGTGTCATAATTCTCTCCTTGATAATCGCTGCAAGCGAAAAAATTTCGCCTTGACTAGCTCCTGTAAGATTAGGGACAAAATAATCATGGACAATTAAGAGTGGTTCATTTCCGCTGCAAATATCATGTCCGCAGTGAGCAAATGAGATTTTCTGTCCAGAAGTTGACTTCCATCGGGTGGCCAAGCAGATCCGGAATAATATTAAACTGATAGTATCTACCCATGGGCCTTTAAGCAGTACCCGAATTTTGTTATGGTTTGGCTCTCCGACGACACTCATGTGTGAGCACTCGAATTCAATTAATTACAGTTCATTATGGCAATGGCAGGAGATAATATATAAGACAATAAATTACTCCATGGCTCCGAAATCGAATGATAACCGAGCCACAAAAGTGAATTGGAGGCCATTTGAATTATTGGCTAAATTTCAATGAACACATTTTTCTTTGAAGTAAATAACATTCACGCGACGCATATTTCTTTCTTCGTTATAATAGAGGGGCACGAGAGTAGCTTAATTTCGTCTTCAAAAGGAAATAATGCAGTAAAATAATATCTGCAAAACAAGTGATACAGTGAAGTGACCTTAGTTATTGTTCGCCAAAAATGACGTTGCTCAATGTTATATGATTAAATTCGGCAGTCTGTGATTTTTTTTAATTCTCTCAATCGCAGCATTTATGGGCCTTCCAACAGATGCATCATTTCTCATCTATCATGTCGTCATGCTCTAACAGTATATCCATTATGTCAGCACGCTCTAAAGTATATCCATATCATGTCAGCATGCTTTGGTAGCATGCATCTATGGCAGGAGGCTCTGGCAGCCTCGCAGCCGGCATCTATAATGTCAGCTTCCTCATGCAACTTGCATCCAGAATAGCCTTCAGTTTGTCAGTAGGTATCCAGCACCGCGGCTTGCAGTGGCATTGCGTGACATTTACGTCAGCAACACTGCTGATACAGTAGCAGTTTTTCTGATACAGTAGTCTGAAGATTCGGAACATAGGACCAAAATCTCAAAAAATATTGTTTGCTGGTGACTATAGCAAGTTGGACGTGGCGAGTCTCGGTAGGCAAAGAGGCTCCATACATTAACTTTACGAGGATCCTTTATACTTAAATGAGGAGACAAGAGGAGTTCAGTAGGAGCTCCCTCTTAACAGTGGGCCCCTACTTAGCAAGGAGTTCCAATATGATGGAGTTCTTGGTACGATATGGGGATTTTTCGTGAACAGGATGCTCGTACTTAACTGGGGTTCCTACATAATTAATGGGATGCTCTCCATTAATTGTTTTATCTTGTTGTGACAACGACGAACCTGAGCCTATGGCTAACGGGAGATTTTCAAGGTCACTTATACAGGAACCATGTTAAAAAATTGAGTGATACCGTGATAGATGAATATTTTGTAGATATTTTGTTATAATTATAACGAATAAAAATGTGGTTTTTAGGTATCCTGTTCCTAAGAACCGTATTTATTACTATTGTATTACTAAGTATCTAAGTATCCAACTCCTGAGGAACCTGCTCATGAGTATCCTGTTCCTTAAAATTCTATTCCAAAGTATCCTGCTCCTGAGGAACCTGCTCTTAAGTATCCTGTTCCTTAAACGTCTATTCCAAAGTATCCTGCTCCTGAGGAACCTGCTCTTAAGTATCCTGTTCCTTAAACGTCTATTCCAAAGTATCCTGCTCCTGAGGAACCTGCTCTTAAGTATCCTGTTCCTTAAACGTCTATTCCAAAGTATCCTGCTCCTGAGGAACCTGCTCTTAAGTATCCTGTTCCTTAAACGTCTATTCCAAAGTATCCTGCTCCTGAGGAACCTGCTCTTAAGTATCCTGTTCCTTAAACGTCTATTCCAAAGTATCCTGCTCCTGAGGAACCTGCTCTTAAGTATCCTGTTCCTTAAACGTCTATTCCAAAGTATCNATAACGTCGTTAATAACTTAAAATTACTTCCTTAAACCTGCATTATGATCAATCAACGTCATCTGAAGAATGTTGTTTGACACTGAAAATTTAAATCAATGGATTCTCGGGTCATTAATCGCACGTGTAACACATACCTGTACCTATATTATGTACACGCAGTATATATGCATATATAACATATATAACACATACCCGTAGATATATTATATATCATGCATGAATATCTTCCGTGCAGGCAAATTACGGTAAAATAACGCTGTTAAGGCGTTTATTTCGTATTAACAACTTTCAATCCACGTTATTTCATTGTCGGACGCCTAGTGGGTTATGTCTAGACATATACTGGTTAGATGAAGAAACAACAGCATTCAAACATCATCGCAATTTTTCAACAGGCAGTACCGGACTTCGCCTGATTTTTCGTCAGTAAATTGACCACCGTAGCTGCAGCCCAGGCTGATGTCGAGCTGTGCCTTTACTTTGGCTGGCTTCATCCTCTTGACCAGCACCAGCGCCACGAAGCTCACCACGCCCACGACCAAAAGTTCCCCAACAAAGTGCCACGTAAGTGTCATAAGCTCGAGGAGGAGGTAGAAACCGTTCTCTGTAGGCCAGCTTCCGCCGTTCATATCGAACAAGATAAAGTCCAACTGTACAAATAGCCCACCCTGGGTTGGGAGAAGAATGTTCTGTTATAAATAGGTTATGTGCACTAAGATTCAGTTTTCTGTCGTCGTTGCATAATGTTTAACCTAGAACCACCAACGACATAGTAACCGTGTTGAAAGCTGGTTTATATTTTGAATGGCATTCATTTTACATTTTTACTGAATATAAAAATTTTAAATAGAAGTGCATATCTTTGTTTTGTCTTGATCATTAATTTTTGCGTAGTCGAAGAGTTGAAATGCCCACGTAAAAATGACGCTATTTCAGATAAAAGTAGTAATAATTTCGATGACTTGTGGAATTTAAATTACTGTACAATAGACAATACTAAAAGTGAATTTGAGCTACAATACTCACTGCGTAACATAACCAGAAGGCGCGGATAACTGGGAACAGCGGCTTGTCCAAGTTCTGGGACTCGATGAACATTGTGACCGCCATGAGAACCCATACAATGTTCACCTGCGTGTGTACCTGTTCATACATGAGTTAAGTTATCAATGAAATAATCCCATATTTTAATCAATTTGTATGATTGCTACTTTTTGCAAAGAAACAAATCTTAGTTATCGTTATATTAAAATTTTATCTTGTTGAGAAATCTTATATTGTTGGTTTTGTATTTTGCCTTATTTTAGTAATTTGATTGCCCTAAAGAAAATTGATTATTCAACGAAATTTATTCTGAAGTTGCGTAAATTTTTAAGTTAACGCTCGGCAAAAGTTGAGCGAATTAGTAAACTTTTGCTCATATTTTAAGCAACTTCCCAATGCGTCTTAAATTTCAGTTCTCCATTCTTTGTTCGACTTTTTCCCGAAGTTTTTATTGAGTTATTCTCTTGTAAGTGAATCATGTTTTGACAACACACATGTTCAGCGTTGTAGTGTCGAGTTTGAAAAAAACTCATTCAAAACATTGTCATTTGGTTTCAAAAGAAATCTTAGATATTAGGAATATTTTGACTAGTGAAAAGTATTGACGTGCCTGTTTGCCTAGATCAAAACATTGTCATTTGGTTTCAAAAGCAATATTTGATATCAGGAATATTTTGACTAGTGAGAAGGATTGCCGTGCCTGTTTGCCTAGAGTGGTAGGATGAAGGACGTGGTTGTACGCTGTGTAGGCCATGATCAGGTACGAAGATCCCGACACGAAGTACTCCATACCATCGATCACGGGATACCTGGAAGATTTAATTTATTAGTATTGTATTGTGCACATATTGCATCACATTCACTTCCAAGCATTACCTATTTAGTGAACATTATCAATCATGAATGATAAACTTGCAAAAAACTATTCGTATTGCAAAGTTGATTCCATAAGCCTAACGGCGGCTCGGCGAAAATGGTTATCTTCTGAAAGGTGAATGATGAAACTTGCAGCTGGAAGGTAAGAGGAGCTTGAATATCTGTACAGGTTGTTGAATAAGTTGAAAATCTTCATAGCTGCTACGTGTGGCATAGAATGATTGAGTTATGGTGTCGCAGCTCAACCACTCTCATTATGACGCTGTTCGTTCCTTTGTGTAATGAGATTTGAAAATTCAAGCTGAGACCTACAAAATTAAAATAAAACTAACCGTTTTTCTCTCTTCATCTATCATTTTTCAAGCCACTGAGTCATAAATTCATCGACTCAAAGTATTAGAATATTCATAAGTTGCAAAATTTACGTCGTTATACATATATTTTATTAGTTCAGTTTCATATAGAATCCATGACGCTCCATGGAACAAATTATTGTTTATTGTCAAAGCCCAAGTTTTCAGTAGAAATTTATTCATCGGAAATGCAATACAAATGGGCAGACTTATACCTCGGCCAGACGGGCATTGCTTTTCAAAAAATTTTCTTTCAAGTCAATCTTTGTGACCATTCAATTTCCTGAGCGTGCCACGAGGGCTTATCGGCGAATATTCACTTAATACTAAGTATCATTTTTATCATTCATAAAAATTTTTTTTAACTCGTTGTACTGTAAAATTGTTTTATAATCGTACATTATAAGGATTAGCATGTGTTATTGTTAAATCTTGTTATAATCATGCATGGGTGTCCTCATTATCACAATTCGATTGTCATAATGTAAATCTATGCTGGAATTCATGACTCCGGGGTCGATGATTTTAACGATTCAAGTATGGCACAGAAAAATTACTATTGGTGTATCAAAATATTGACACATTTTCCCTGCCACAGCACCAGCAGAAAACGGACGTAACTTTGATACGCCAAATTGGCAGGCCTAAATGGGGTCAGGACGACACACACAAGTGCAAGAAGTGCACCACAATTTGCACAACATCTCACTCATTTTTAGCGCATTTTCTCATTTATGAAAAAATGCACTATTGTGCTCGCCATGTCCGTCTGTCCGTTATGTTATGTCCGAGTTATATTTATGAGAGTGTGCGTGCACAAAAGCATACCGATAATGTTATAGTGTGCGTGCACCAAAGCATACCTGTCACTCATTTTTATGAGAGTGTGCGTACACAAAAGCATACCTGTAATGTTATAGTGTGCGTGCACCAAAGCATACCTATAATGTTATAGTGTGCGTGCACCAAAGCATACCTGTAATGTTATAGTGTGCGTGCACCAAAGCATACCTATAATGTTATAGTGTGCGTGCACCAAAGCATACCTGTAATGTTATAGTGTGCGTGCACAAAAGCATACCTGTAATGTTTCAGGATGACGACGATGGGAGCCAGGGCCACCTGTGCCACCATGACCACGTGGATGAGGTCCTCTCCGAAGCGCATATCAGTTACGCCCACGTGCGATATTGCGGACTGGCTCTCCACTGAACGCAAATTAAGGAGCCTCAATTACAATTATTCTGCATGTGCGTGGTACAAACGAAGCCAAAAGAATCGGTAATTATTGTGACTGCACGATTATCCTGAGCTATTCCTATTAAACTTTTAGGACCGGGGTTGATGAATTAAAATAGTTTTTTCAACACTCAACTCGTACCTGATAAATCAGTTCCTACATGACCTTCACTTACGATAGGTTCTCCGACAAATATTTTAAAATTTACACCCTTGTTCTAGTTACGTCAATTCTAATTGTAACTACTGCCAACTTTCATGTTAACCTACGGTTTAGATCTATCATTCACTTACTTATTATAAGCAGAACACTCAATAAAAAGGTGACAAGAGCCTCAAGGGGCAACCCAGGGCAGAATGTGCTGGGGAACAGGTAGCTGCTGACGAAGGGTCGCCCTCGTGAGCCCAACAAGGCGTACTCCCTCTTGCAGAGGTAGTAGCGCTCGAAGGTGCAGTACAACCACCGTAGCCCTATGAGGTACTGCATCACGCCTGGTACAATGTGGCCTCCGAAGTGCTCTGGAAGTCCCAGTTCTGCCGTGCAATTAAAACCAGATGTTCACTACCAACTCCAAAAGTCCCCTTGTGTTGAGTGATGTGAGAGGATCAATTCCTTCATTGCCTGATCACTTTCCCATTGAATTTGGCTCATAGCGGTTTCTCGCGTGAGTAAGTGTTACTAGCAAGGATGTATTGCACTTTATACAGATTTTGCTTTGGTCTCTACCCTTTAATTACTGTTACTCCAGTAGTTACTGGATACCAGAACATGCTCATACACCCTTCATATTTACTCATTACATCTTCGGCACGAAGCGTTCAAGACCACAAGAGACGAGCTTGTCGCAAAAGGCTTGAGGCATCAACACTCTTGACGCTTCACCAAGCCTTCTTGCGCATGCCATCATTCTTATCCACGTAGTAAATAATCGAATAAAATTTATATATGTATATAATCTGATAATTCATGCATATTTGAAACAACAAAAATTTAAAATTTCAAGCCAATATTTTATACCAAAAATGAAAAAGTACCCTAATTATTCTTCTTTAATTAAAAGCATACTTTTTATTAGAATTATTTATTATTACTTTATTTGAAACAACAAGAATTTAAAATTTTAAGCCAATATTTTATACCAAAACGAAAAAGCACCCTAATTATTCTTCTTTAAATAAAAGCATACTTTTTTATTCGAATTATTTGTTATTACTTTTAATGTCATGTTTTTATATTTCCTTAAATACAAGACTATATGTCAGTCAACTATTCCTTGCAATATTTAATAATGCAGATGCACAAAGACAATATAAAATAAACTATAATGTTGAATACCTACTAATACAGTAAGACTTACTATTGAAAATATTTCCTTAAATAAGAGACTATGTCAGGCATCATATTTCCTTGAATAAGAGGCTATGTAAGTCAACTATAACATGCAATATTTAATAATGCAGCTGCACAAAGACAATATAAAAACAAACTATAATGTTGAATACCTACTAATACAGTCCGACTTACTATTGAATAGAGGATCCGTGTGGTTATGGTGGTGCTCCATCGCCTCCATCTTGAAAGCGGTAGTGCGGTCCACAGGTGCGGTAACAATCGTTCAAAATCAAAAGTTATAGCAAAGAAAACTCAAGTAAAAATGAATGGATAATAATGTTTATCTAACGTGTATCTGTGAGAACAAATTATTATTTATTACGCTCAACCCACAATGAATGACTGGGTAAAAGTTCAAATTCTTTGGCCGAAGTAAAGAATTCCGTTTGAATTCGGATTAAGTGAATAAATAAGAGGGAATTTCTCAGACATTTTATCGATGGTAAATATCATTCGTTCTTACGCAAGGAAATTATGCAATAATAAATAATACCAAATAATTTTAAACTCGATACGAACAAAAAAACGTAAATATAAAGCTTGCGGAAGTCTATGCAAGTTTATGCTTAATAATACTTGTAGTAATCAAAATATCTACGAAGTCTCTTATAATTTTGCTGTTGTGTTGACAGAATCGTGCTGGATTGCCTAGCTTACTTTACTTTACTTCCAGCCTTCTTATTTACTGATGTACTACTATACTGTTGTACTACTATACTGATGTACTACTATACTGATGTACTACTGTACTGATGTACTACTATACTGATGTACTACTATACTGATGTACTACTATACTGATGCACTACTTTACTGATGACTATACTAATGTACTACTATACTGATCTAATACTGATGTACTACTATACTGATGTACTACTATACTGATGTACTACTATACTGATGTACTACTATACTGATGTACTACTATACTGATGTACTGCTATACTGATGTACTGCTATACTGATGTACTACTATACTGATGTACTACTATACTGATGTACTACAGTACTATACTGATGTACTACTATACTGATGCACTACTTTACTGATGACTATACTAATGTACTACTATACTGATCTAATACTATACTGAACTAGTACTATACTGATCTACTACTATACTGATCTAACAACTATACTGATCTTCTACTATACTGATGTACTACTATACTGATCTACTACTATACTGATCTATTACTATACTGATGTACTATACCGTACTGATGTACTACTTTACTATACAGATGTACTGATCTACTGATGTTAGGTTACTGATTTACTTCCACGTTTGTCTGTCGTATGCTATCTCCGATGCAGTACGTCCATAGGCGAGAGAACGTCTCGTTTCTCTTCATTTTCAAGCTCTCATATCGCAGTCGCCTATATGAGGGCGCTTGTAACTATCATCACAACATGCGGATATATAACAGGCTTATCTCTTCACAGTTGAAATTTTGACGCTTGTCTCGAGCTTTTTTAATATTCCTGTGAAGGTTTAATTACACATTAGTTTAAAAAATTACTCACAGTTTTTCACAATTCTTGCTCATTTGGAGTCAGTTTTCTAGAGCACACAGATTAATTATGATATTAGTAGTTCAGTTGAATGTCTATCGGAATAAATGATCCGTAGACTAATGAAAGTTCTGTTCAGTTATCACGGCCTCCACAAAACCCATAGTTTGCACTGAAATTGAATCCACTAACTACGTAGGTGATTAAATGGCATGAGTGCGAGACGTGCAGTGAATGGTTGACTACTCATATTGCCGTACGCTTTACTCATATTGTCGTACGCTTGACTCATATTGTCGTACGCTTGACGTACGCTTGACTCATATTGTCGTACGCTTGACGTACGGTTGACTCATATTTCCGTATGCTTGACGTACGCTTGACTCATTGCCGTACGCTTGACTCATATTTCCTTACGCTTGACGTACGCTTGACTCATATTTCCTTACGCTTGACGTACGCTTGACTCATATTGCCGTACGCTTGACTCATATTGCCGTACGCTTGAGTCATATTACCGTACGCTTGACTCATATTGCCGTACGCTTGACTCATATTGTCGTACGCTTGACTCATATTGCCGTACGCTTGGCCGCACTCACCGCTGGGATGGACTTACCTGCCGAGACGCTCAGGTCGATCTGGCGCCCGAATCGTAGTAAAGTCCTACGATCAAGACCATGACCTTCAGAAGTGCCCTTGGCTCGCTATATGCATGGGGCTTAGAATATTATACATAACATGGTTGGAAGAACTCTAGGTGTACTTCAATTTTGCTTACAATTAATATGATGATAGTTAGATATAATTTGACATATTGTGTCAAATTTTTCAAATTTTGTCAGTGACATATCATAAAATCTAATGCAAAATTTACTAGTCGGTTTTATACATATTAGATGACATGGTCAAATTGGTAATATACGAAAGATTTTTATTTGTTTTTTATTCGCTATCTCCCAATACCAGTACAGTTTATTCGCTATCTCCCAATAAATATCAATAGACTGTACCGGATAAGCTCGTGCAAGTTTTCATTATACTCTTAAGTGAGGCGACATACAAAATTATGCGATAATAATTCAGCCAAGCATTGCAGAATGTTCTTAATTGAACTTTATGTGAGATAGAAATAAATGAATATGTCTCGTGATGTTATTAATTCTCATGTAGATAATCCAAGATCCTCATGTACATAAAATACAAGTAAAGATAATATCCCTGGTAAAATAATGGATTGTTTTGGGCATTTCACCAAACGAAATAGCTCAATGATCGAGAAACAACCAATTCAAATGAAAAATTGCCTACCGCCTATATTTTAGGTCATGTATATGGCGTCAAAATAACTTTACTGTGCAAGATTGATTTCATATTGTGACGTGAAAAATTTGATTTGTGGTATTTAGGTCGCTGCCCGTTCTCAAATGACGCAAAAGGAACTAAAAAGTAGGATACATTGAGAGGACTTGACCTACGCCCAACACCCAACTTCATGTAAAAGGTCAAGATTTGCATAGCAACAAGCCTGTGCTCAAATCCACGGGGTTTTAACTTCAACGTCTTAAGGTAGGTCAACTTTTTCTTGTCTTATTTGTTGTACGAGTGAAGGACACTTTAGAGGAAATGATTTCAGATAACATGCCCTGCAATGTGTTTAAAATTATAAATGAGAAGAGTTGCACCTCGTTTGGAAATTTTTTATGTACATTAAGTAAAGTCATGCATCTATCACATGTCAATCAAATTCAGCGATCCGCTGATAAAGGGATTAAAAAATTAATTTTTAAAAATATAAGATTACTTATATTTTCTGAACTTTAAGCTTTGAATTTGATGGTAAAGTTGACGCTGCTAGTGGGCCACTGATCTAAATCATTGTTAAATACTTAGAAGCCTGTCATTGTAGGACTGGCTTGATTAGCATATGATTAAAATCCGGAAATAACTGAATTTTATGGAAATAGAATAATAAAAAATAATTTACAATGGACATGAAATCAAATTTAAACATCAATCACATATTTTTGCATTATACTTCTTGGTTATAAAAGGCTTCGAAATGCCAATTATAATAAAAAGATATAACTCAGTATTCACGGCAGTGAGTGACAGAGAGCGCATTGTCTCATCGACGGAAACGTGAAGTCACGGACGGACAGACAGACGGACGGACAGACAGACGGACGGACGGACAGACGGACATGGCGAGCACAATAGTGCATTTTTTCCATAAATGAGAAAATGCGCTAAAAATGGCCCAACAACAAACTGCTAGGGGCGCCTGTATGGAAAGTGCATATCCAGAGGAGCAGCGTCTATTGTCCTCTGCGAAAATACTGACTGGAAAATATTTTTGAAGAAAGATAAATATTAATTTGAAAGTCTATTTTCCTGAACTGCACACTTCATCACATTATACGTTTTTCTATATATATATATGAGTCAATATATTCTGCATTTAACTGAAAAGCATATTAATAAAGTGTCTATTGATTACTGATAGCGCGGTATTGTTAAATACCGAGAAATCATTAATATGAAAGCGGCTTTCAACATGGATTGAAAATTGTTTATTAAAGCATTTATTAATGCAGAGACAAGCTTAATAGGAAATTTCGTTGGGAAAATGCAAGATAAAAGAGCATCGTGGGCCTAAGCATTGCTGCAACGCTCGTGAATCATTGCGGCAAAATAATATTTAGGATCCTTAATTATATAATAACTAATTAATAAACACTAGTGATGATTGATAGAAAAAGGAAAAGCCATGAAAAACACAAGTCTTATATGAACTTGAATGCAATTTCAACGGATGCCCAATATTTTGTAGCAGAAAACTCTATATCCTGCAATGAGATTTACACTCCTTCACTCCTGACGAGTCGTTGAAACTAAGCTAAACTGTATAAAAGAATAATTGAAAAGGTCTACCTGGCTCTCTGGTCCTCAATCGACATTATTTTACTTCGAATTTTTTTAAACGGAGTCTTTAAGATTTAAATTTGAACTCCAGACAACTTCGTCACGTACTCCCGACACAAACAAGGTGGTTTTGTATCACCCGACGCAAAAAATTGTTTCGGATGATGCAGTTGAAAAAAATTGCGCATTTCTTCCTGGACAGATATTACACGAATCTGTTTGTGCAGCCAATATTGTTTTTGATGTATGTTAACAAACAAAATTTCTAAATTTATCACAATAGATTAAACCTGCGCATACAACGATGTGGGTACCGCTATGAAAGTCCCCAAAGTATTACATATTTTTGTCTTTGGTGTTACAAGGAGAAGCAACTTGCTATATAGTTTACAGAAACACTAGTCTACAATTAGATATTTTTCAGGAAAAAGACGAGTTGCAATATTAGTGAACTAATTGTCAGAAAATAAAATTTATTCATAGACCGTTTTGTGAAGATCTTGATGCAATATAACAACTATGAGGGGCAAATGCTTTAAGCGTATCACAGTAGTTATCATATAATGCTTTTTTCGTGGTGCAGCAAAAAATTATTCAGTAAAAAGACTTGATTACAAGATTATTATGACATAGAAACATGAAGGAAATACGGAAATAAAATGGATCTGAAAATAATCTGAAGTCTACCTTTTAAATTTGTTGAAGAACTTGATGATGCAATGTGAATGAAATCTGTCAGCACACAAACAAGGATTAGGGAAATAGACTGGAACGACCCATCGCATATATAAGAGCAGCTGTTTGAAATGCAGCATGATATGATCATTAGACAAATTTGCTCCTTAT